TAAATCTGGTAGTTGTGTAGAAATGAAGAAGAGAAGGCAAAAATCATTCAACCCATTCACATAAGCAAATATAAGTGATGAATCCATAAAGATAGAAAAACTAACCAAATCAACAGGGCAAACCTACTTATAAGGTTGAATTGTTTCCAAATCCTTAAAAATTAACAAAAGTTGCAATCTTTGAAGGAAAATACAAACAAAGATGGAAAACCTAAACTAAAGCTATGAACAAGAGTAGATCTTGCACTATAAACTAGAAATCATGTTGAAATCTGGCAGAAAAAGTCTGAAAATTCAAGATGCATATGCGCTAGACAGTTTTTCTGTAAGGCAAGCCATATGTCTGTGTCTGTGTGTGTTGAATTGATTTTTCCTCTCTTTTTTGTTTTTCTCTATGCTGGGTAGTTACTTCTATAATTCTCGCTCTTGCTTCCATGAAAATTTGCTATAGAAGGCTACGTCTAAAAGCAGTTTTCCTCCTGTCTAACAACTAACAGTTACTCTCAAATAAATCACTAAAACCCACATAATCTCACTTAAAATCTCTTCACAATCGCCTAATTAGATTAAACCTTAACCACCTTAAAATGTTTATCCTACTTGGACTCTAATCACTCCATCATGAATCCATTCAAAACTTAAGCCCAAAACCACCTTTGGATTCAACTCAATCCATCTCAAAAAATGTAGCCTAATTAATCCTGAAGCACACACGTGGCATTTCCCCATTTAATTTATTTAGAGTGTAAACAGTAATATTATATGTATATACTCATTTAATGAAACATCACATTTATTTAATTTTATTTTATGTTATAAATTTACAATTTTATTTAGTATTATAATTATAACATTATAGCAAACTTTTGATTTATTCCAAACAATTTTCAATTTTCAATCTTTTTATTTTATTTCAAATGTCAATTTAGTACTAGTAAACATATAAATTTTTACAAGTCAAGGGTCAGATTTATTGAAAAACATGTGTTGTTTTATATATTAAATTTATCATTTAAGTTTTTATTTTATATATTAATTTTTTTAATATATTAAATTAAAGTAGGGATACACCTATATGAGAATTGATTTGCAACTTGTCTCTAAAACACCTTTACTACCCAAACAAAAAAATTGATATTCCCTCCATCTTAAATTTAGTTGTCCCACTTATTCAATTTGAATGTTATAATTTCATTGTCTCATTTTTATATGATGTTAAATATTATTATTTTATTTTTATTTTTATTATTTTAATTTATTTATAAAAATAATAAAGCTTTTATTTATAAAAAAATTATTATAGAAACCCTTTACTATGAAATTTTAACTAATTCTTTAATTATTTAAGTATGTGTAAAATAAAAGAATATAGAAACTACTAGTAAAATATATGAATGAAGTAAATTTTTTTTAAAACTACTATAATTATAATTATAATACTATATGATATTATAAATTATAAC